CCTCCCGACCAACGTTGCGGAGGACTCAGAGAATGACTTTTTAGTTACTGTCTTCAAGCAGTTTTTATATCCTTCCTGTAACTTCATGTATCCGTCGTCGCCGATGACCAAAACGCCTAAGTCGGCGCCGCCATCATAACAGGTACAGGCAACAGGTTATTGCGAATGTTATCAATTCATTATCTAAATATTCCCGAGTATAGTAGCTAAAGCACTTCCGCAGTTATTACGTTGCTTCGCTGAAACAGCTTAACTAACCTCATTTTTGTCACTGTTTCAGCCTTAAGTGAACATACAATACAAAATATCATTAGTGATGCTCATGCAGTAAATGTTTTGAAGTCATGATGGTAGTTCAATTTTCTTATAATTGGAATTTATATCCATTGTGAATTTGTATTAAAAACTTAAGTGGATTCGCATAAACGGTTAGAAAATTATCTTATTGGTGGCCACTGATGGAAATGTTTCAACGCTTTGCCAATTGGTTTTGGAGCGAGGACATTTGGCTTCCTCCGGGCATGCAGTGGTCCGCCTTACAAAGCGCCGTGAAACTTAAGTTGCCGGAGTTCTCGGATCTGCGACTTTCTTTGTACTATGCATTTGCGTTTTTGATCATGCGAGCAGTCTTCGAATGGTATGTATGCTTTTTTGTGTCTTGAATGTTTTTTTTTGTTTTTTTCTTATATTTTTTTGAGTTAAGATTATTAGCACAGATGAGATTGGTCAACGTTTGTTGTACTTGCAGGTTCATCGCTCGTCCACTCGGTTATGCGTTAGGTATTCGCGATGGTGGCAGTTCATTACCTCATCTTTTCGCCTGCGTTTTGCGTCGCTGTCGCAATATTTGGCTCGCATTCAACAATGGCTTGATAAACGGCTATTGCTGCAAGACAGCTAATGATGAACGGTCGTCGTCGTCGAACACTGTTCCCGAAATTATTCACGTTATCCTCCATAAGACAACGTTAGACAAGTTTTCCGAATCATGGTAAGTGTCGAAGATTGTTTCTTCATTGCTTTCCTTGTAACTTTTGCTCGACCTTGGCATAAAAATGATTCATATAAACGGTTATGATATAGAAAGAAACATGTTTAATTCGAAAATGGTACAACCGATATTCAAAATTTCTATCTTTTTCTCGTTGCATAAGCGCTAGTCGAAAATTCGGTTGATGAAGATGGGTTGCATGAAGGTGGTTGCACGAATATAATGGCTCTGTTGCTCCTACCCGTCATTCGCTAAACCGAAGATTTCGACAGACTGCTAGTCAGATCATTTACTTGTTTAAACCTATGATCTTTTGAATTAACTGATGCCTGATAAACATTTTTAAAGTCTTATATCATTTTTCTAATACCCAACATCCCGTATTATGTGGTGTTTGCAAATACTGTTTTTATGCTGTTTTTCTGTTACGATTCTAGTGCCTGTCATTTCACCTTAATAAGTTTACATAAAAGTTTTTTACTTGTATAAAATCGCCAAATCTGTGTACATATCTCTAAATAGAATGGCACTTGCACTCTTAGAACT